TCATAATTTGTATTGTCCCAATAATGCAGTTACTACTTATTTTATTTCACATCCATATATATTTACTTATGAATTCTGATTCTGATATGTGACATTTAACTTTAATTTTTCATTTGTATATACTTATTGTAAGCTGAACTTCAATAGCCTTTATTTTTCATTTGATACTTTTTCAGAATAGGTTACTTCAATATTTCTGTCGATTGACATTCAAAATGTTATCATTAATTATAAATAAAATGTACTTTAGTAGTTATTCATATACCAAAATATGTATAATGTTACATTACATAACATGTTAAACTGAGACGAGATTGTTTCAGAAATTACCCAATCCCAAAAGACCTGGTAGCAAGTAATACAGATAACGAGAATAATTTGATTATGAAGATGCTTACAATAATGAATGACCCATAATTGGTATATTATTGAAATATTACTCCAGTGGGACTAAGACAAAGTTCCATACTCTAAAAGCAACTTTCCTCTTCAGACATTTTGTATCTGTCACTTAAATGTCAAGATTGCATTGATTAGGGTTGACGTTGATGAGTTATCACAAGGGACATTTTGAGTCATTTGGAGAATGAAACCAAATCTTGTGACCTATTGGCTCCCATATTAATGCACCTATGTAAGAGAACACTTCTCCAAGCAGAACACTTTGTGACCAGTTGATCAATATCAATGATTCTCTATAAGAGGAACACTTTTCCAAGCAGAACAATTTGTGACCTATTGACTCAATATCAATGATTCTCTATAAGAGTAACACTTCTCCAAGCAGAACACTTTGTGACCTGCTGACCCAATATCAATGATTCTCTATAAGAGGAACACTTCTCCAAACAGAATACTTTGTGACCTGTTGACCTAATATCAATGATTCTCTATAAGAGGAACACTTCTCCAAACAGAACACTATGTGACCTGTTGACTCAATATCAATGATTCTCTATAAGAGGAACACTTCTCCAAACAGAACACTATGTGACCTGTTGACTCAATATCAATGATTCTCTATAAGAGGAACACTTCTCCAAACAGAACACTTTGTGACCTGTTGACTCAATATCAATGATTCTCTATAAGAGGAACACTTCTCCAAACAGAACACTTTGTGACCTGTTGACTCAATATCAATGATTCTCTATAAGAGCTTTGTGACCTGTTGACTCAGTATCAATGATTCTCTATAAGAGGAACACTTCTCCAAGCAGAACACTTAACAAGTTTTATAAAGATTTTGTCACCCATTGACTTCCATGTTAATGAACCTCTGTAAGAGAAACACCTTCCACGTTTGAACACTTTTTAGTGATTCCAAATGTGTCCCACTTACTGGGGTTTTAATAAATATAGAGAACAGCGTTCCAGCAATTCAGTCCAGAAATCATATATTTTGTTGTCATTTTTGGTAAGTGTATATATCCATATCTTATTCATCGCAGAATTTGGTGACCTATGACTGCTTTCTTAAAATATACATAATATGCTTCTTGAATAAGTTAATAATATCACCATACTACTTTTTCACATCTCCAAGTTGCCAGCTAGGATTAGCATTGATACATTGTGTATTATTAGATATATACTAAAAGGTGAGAGAATGAGACTGTTTTGATTTTCCAGGCCATAAAAGGATGAATGATAGATGGATTTTAAGCATCAGGCTTTTCATATCAAGGTAGACAAGACATATTGATGAGTTGTTGTTTTCATGAGCACTCACTATAGGTTTTCAAACACTGTCAATATTGTTAATACCAGGGGCCTAGACATTAAGGACATAGAGTTCGAAAAACATCCATTCAATGACTTTTCTGGTATCTATAATGTCCTAATTCCCTTGATTTTGTTAAAATTGATTTATTCCGAATGATCGAAAGTAGAGAGTCCCATACGCCATCCCCTAAAATAATTATTCAGGCCTTTTTTATCACAAATTGACAAGTTGTCACATTCCCTTAGAGTTAAGATATCAATCGATACAATGGCACTTTAAATGAACATCATGACATAAGAATATAGATGTAAATAGATTATCTGACAAGTTGATATTTTTAGCTATAAATATAGCGTGACTGTCTCTGGGATTTTAATTTCTAAAGGAAGATTATGGCAAGTTAAAGTATATCTATTCTAGAAAAAAGCGCTTGAAAACCAGGCTCCTAATAAATGAATAGAGCATGGTTTAAGAGCTGTTTCATATAGCAATGTGTTGGACATTATAACATGTTCAATACGAGCCATTTCATGTGGCAATGTGTTGGACTTTATAACATGTTCAATACGAGTCATTTCATATGGCAATGTGTTGGACATTATAACATGTTCAAAACGAGCCATTTCATGTTGCAATGTGTTGGACTTTATAACATGTTCAATACGAGTCATTTCATATGGCAATGTGTTGGACATTATAACATGTTCAAAACGAGCCATTTCATGTGGCAACATGTTGGACTTTACAACATGTTTAATACGAGCCAGGTGTTGGACTTTCTAACATGTTCAATACGAGCCATTTCATGTGGCAACATGTTGGACTTTACAACATGTTTAATACAAGCCAGGTGTTGGACTTTCTAACATGTTCAATACGAGCCATTTCATGTGGCAACATGTTGGACTTTACAACATGTTTAATACAAGCCAGGTGTTGGACTTTCTAACATGTTCAATACGAGCCATTTCATGTGGCAACATGTTGGACTTTACAACATGTTTAATACGAGCCAGGTGTTGGACTTTCTAACATGTTCAATACGAGCCATTTCATGTGGCAACATGTTGGACTTTCTAACATGTTCAATACGAGCCATTTCATGTGGCAACATGTTGGACTTTACAACATGTTTAATACGAGCCAGGTGTTGGACTTTCTAACATGTTCAATATGAGCCATTTCATGTGGCAACATGTTGGACTTTCTAACATGTTCAATACGAGCCATTTCATGTGGCAACATGTTGGACTTTACAACATGTTTAATACAAGCCAGGTGTTGGACTTTCTAACATGTTCAATACGAGCCATTTCATGTGGCAATGTGTTGGACATTATAACATGTTCAAAACGAGCCATTTCATGTGGCAACATGTTGGACTTTACAACATGTTTAATACGAGCCAGGTGTTGGACTTTCTAACATGTTCAATACGAGCCATTTCATGTGGCAACATGTTGGACTTTACAACATGTTTAATACAAGCCAGGTGTTGGACTTTCTAACATGTTCAATACGAGCCATTTCATGTGGCAACATGTTGGACTTTACAACATGTTTAATACAAGCCAGGTGTTGGACTTTCTAACATGTTCAATACGAGCCATTTCATGTGGCAACATGTTGGACTTTACAACATGTTTAATACAAGCCAGGTGTTGGACTTTCTAACATGTTCAATACGAGCCATTTCATGTGGCAACATGTTGGACTTTACAACATGTTTAATACAAGCCAGGTGTTGGACTTTCTAACATGTTCAATACGAGCCATTTCATGTGGCAACATGTTGGACTTTACAACATGTTTAATACAAGCCAGGTGTTGGACTTTCTAACATGTTCAATACGAGCCATTTCATGTGGCAACATGTTGGACTTTACAACATGTTTAATACGAGCCAGGTGTTGGACTTTCTAACATGTTCAATACGAGCCATTTCATGTGGCAATACGAGCCATTTCATGTGGCATTATGTTGACTCTATAACATGTTCTTTGCTATATAATCTGCCAGTTATTAAAGCAACGAGCAACTCTGGATGCCAGAATAAACAGATATAGAAAATAACTAATCTTACACTTGATCCACTGATTATCCCGAAAACAGGTGTTATAAGTATATATATGAAATACAACAATTCACAAACTGGGATCTCTTATAATTTGGCACATGTTTGTATGGAATCAATGTAAAAAGATACATGTAAACTATCTAAGTCAATCTGCAAGATTACAAAGTCTAATCACCTGATTTTTTAATCATATTAGTAGGGAGTGAAAAATGGACTGTTTTCAGAATCATGTTTTCGGAATGGGAAGGTGTAATAAATGGGTTAAATCTATTTACAGTATGTGTCCCATTACACATACACAGCAATCTATCCGCAATTTCGTGTTTATGGATACTTTAGTCTTGTTTCAAGACTGTAGACCTGAGTCCCAGGGTCTTGAAGCAAGACTATGGATACTTGGACATTGAATATATTAATTGCAACATATATAATATAACAGAAATCTCCAAAAAGGCATTAACGTGCGAAATGTCACCACCTACCATTTGCAACAAATGTTGACCACCAAACACCATTTGTTACAGACACCGAACACCAAACACCATCCATAAAAAAAGTTGGAGATTTTAACAATATGTCACTACCATGGCTCACATGGAAAAAACTGATTTCTCCAAAAAAGAGGCAAAATAGGACGGTTCCCAATAAATAGATACGAGCATAAGACCAGATATATGGCAGCTTTCAATTGTCTGAAAACTAGTATATAATGGTCTGTACACAATGTCCAGATATAATATTAAGGATTGTAAAATATAAATTGCAGCATCTATCAACATCTTGATCCATAAAGGCATAAAAGAAATTCATGTACACTCGTTTAACAGTATGATCTATCAAAGACATAAGCATACTGCAACTGAACATAAGAAATAAACTATCAGTATAAATTTACACATCTATTTATCATAAATCACATCGGAATAGCCTGACTATGGTAAAGTCAGATACCGTTGTCACAAATGGCGGACATAACTGTCGATTTTACCGTTGTCTGGCTATTCCGGGGTGATAAATGTTCTACATAATAATATAATTTATTTATTTAACTTATTTAGAAGCACATGAAAAATCAATATATGATTATGAGAATAGTTTGATCATTACTTGCATGATCTTGGAATCAAAAATTATTTTTCGTAAAACACTTTTAAATCAATTTGTTAGCATGTGCTCCTTTATAGATTCTTTACTTACCAAAGCCTCATTAATGTCATTGGAGTCTCCCTTTGGATATGGCGTAAACACCATCAGCGCGACACAGTTCGCAAAAATCGTCAGCAGAATGATGATTTCAAAAGGCGTGAATATCTGTTAAGGAAAACTTTTTCACATATAGTATTTTTTTGTATATATATTGAGCAATACTAGAATGCAATCTGTACTCATCCATCATTGTTCCAGTTATATCGGCACTTCACACAGTATACAATAATTTTTTCAGCACTCATATCTCTACTCATACTATCACATACCACACTTAGCATTGTCACATCCCTATATACTGGACTTTGACACTTCCCCCATACCAGAGGAAAGACGACACCAGGGTTGAAGATCAGGCCTCGCTGAATTTATTGAAAGAATTGAAAAACTCTTGGAGCAAGGATGGGGTTGAACAAGATACAAGGCTTCCCTTTGAGGAAGGAGACACATCTAGCTCAGTACTTCATCATCATATAGAACATCAATTTAACATTTTCCAGGAACAGTATTCAACTGAATTATCTAATGAAGAGTTCATCTCATTGAAGAAGTCAATGATCTCATCGAAGAAGTCAGTGATATATGATTAAATAAAGGCTTGTTCTAAATAGAATGTGATTTGGTATTGACATGATATAGATGTTGAATGTCATGATAATTTGCAATCCTAATAGAGCTCATTGAATTACAAAATTGTAATACAGATCAAATAATGACATAATGTTATTCTAGTAAATTGGTTTAGCTTAACGACTGGAGAAACTTGAGCAATTAAATGACCAGCTAGGTAAACCACACTGCCCTATCTACTATAACCTGTATATCTTACAGGCTGCAGTGAAGTTGCAAATGGAGCATGTATATTTCTGAAGGTATTCTAGATTTTACATATATTCCAAGTATTCTACTATATATTGTACAGACTCATCGAGCAGTTTGCATTGTATTATTACCAGAAAAGCCCTATAGACAAAGAAGAGAATACCCGCTCCATTTTAAACTTCACTGTAGCCAGCATCCCTTTTAAAGAAATACAGGTTACAGTATGGGGGTAGGGTTGTGTAAATGAACCAACAGCCAAGATCCCATGACAATGACTACGCCTCCTTTGTCTTAATGTTTCGCAAACAACTGACAAGAGATGGTCCATCCTTCTTCAAAGGACTTCATTAAAATATAGAGAGAAGTGAAATACCCTTGACCAATGATGGAAGGGGTCTGGTGAACCAAATGCCATAATCCTGTCATCCTTCACAATGGGCTTCACTGGAAATTTTGATAAAATATTTGTGAATACAATTAATGGCTCTTTTAAAGAATTCTTCATATTGTTAACTGTAATACCAAATTCGATAAATTCTGGTAAATATTATTACATCGCTCTATCAAAAATCATGAGGTGAAATCTATAATTTTGGACGTATGTTGCGTGTAAGGAAAAGAAAAATCAGTGAGATCACAGAACACCGCTTCATGTTATCAGGCAAATAAAATGTAAGAGCTATGAAATCCAGCAATATGCTTTAATACAAAAATACCCTGAATATAAGGATATAACTAAATAAATACCGTATATACAAGGTTTGTGAACAAAGAACAAAGAAATGTACCATGTTAGGAATAAAGCAATATATGCGCAATCAATGGAATCATTCAGTTATGATAAAAGCGCTATGCTAATTGATCCAGATGAAAGAAAAATACCTACTAAACCAACTGTAATTAATATATTACACTTTCATAAATATATGTATGTGAGGAAGTAAAAACCTCCTATATTGATTATTACACAGTTTTATGTCATTTGGTTCAAAAGGTTGAATAATTCATTTATCAGAAGCCTCGGCAATCATTTATGCTTAGATTAAAGCACAATCTCTTCACTTTTTGAGTACATCTGTACCAAAAATCAATTTTGCCTATGGATTCCCAACTAATCTATTGCATGTTACACAATTTGAACATACCTCTACCCTCCCCAATTACACCACAAAGGAGACTTAAACCCTGCTTTGACCAACTACTGTCACCCTTCAGCCTTCCTCTTTTACCCCAGGAGCTGCATAACCATGAAATGGCTAACCGGGGATACCTGTACAAGGTAGATATCTCTACTTAACATCCCCTTATCAACATTGCTGAACTAAACAACCCCCCCCCCATATGTGCACTCTCCTCCACATGAAGGAGGTCTGAAATTGTGATACTATCAAGAGCTCGGGCACTGTCTACTAAACAACCCTCTACAACACACCCTCTAATACCCCCTTAAACATGACCTTGTAGCTGTTTATATAGACTACCTGTAGCAGTTTGGAATCTCTGAAGCTTAGAATCTACAGTGCTCAGGTACTGTCTACTAAGAACTTATTGATTTTCTGAAGGCATGATAACAATAGCATAGTGAGCCAATGCATTCCTACACTGAAGCCAATTTCTATTTCCTATTTGCTTCTTTCTATTTTTTCTGTCGATATATATACAAAAGATAAAACAACTGTTTATCAACAATCTGATATTTTGAAGTTTCAGTTCATCTCAATATACCAAATGCAACAAAAGTATCGAAGGAACGTTCATATATATTTATCGATAATATGTATTTTTGAAGAATCGATTGTGTTAAGTACATGATATTAACTGAGTTTAATAAGATGTGCTGGGTAGCATAGGTCTTGCATTGATTGTAAATGTCGCAAGTGATTTTCATAATTGCGAGACAATCTCCTCTAATGCACCCGTCTTTCCTTAATTGACATTGTTAACATTACACATGAACTGAAACATATTATGGTAGCCAAGGTTACACCATGTGCTTTGTAGAGCGATAATGGTTACACCTCATGCATTCTGCATCTAACACATCCCAGTGCTCTCGCCAGGATATTTTTGAGAAGAGGATCTTGCAATTTTTAGTACAACATTACAGGTTTTTGTAATTTTTTGATCAACATTTTAGTCTTTTTTTATTCATTATAACATAAGGAGGCACATTTCATAATCAAAGCTACACAAACTCCCAATGGAGTATACAGCATAATGCGCTGTAACGGTAAGGTACAACACAAAGAATGTGAATTTGCATTAAACCGTATCTAAGGTAGTACCCGTGCGCTATACTACATTTGGAGTTTATTTAGGTTTAATTATGAAATTCACGGTCAAGTTTACTGTTAAGGGTGTTGTTACAGACATTCACATATAAAAATATCTAGAAACTAGACCAAATCTTTCTGAAACAATAAAAATCGAAAATTTCTCAAATCGCATCATCCTCGTGTTGTACCTTACCCCGTGCTTTCAACAGTCATACTTAATTTGGTACACACCCAGTGTTAATATCAAAGCAGACTGAAAATGATTTCTTGCAAAACAATTTTGGTTTGAGCTTAATAGAATTATGACCTGACATTGTTTTTGCTCCTAAATCTCCAAAGCCCATTAGCCTAAAAGCTATTACATGAAAATGAATATACATGTAGGTTTATTACACATACTGTTCTACCAATGTGCATTAATGGATCAAGATTTATAATGGTTGCTCTTACAGCTGCCATATTAACACTAACAACATATAGTTAATGGCTTATGTAAAAATGGTATAAAGGATGAACTTTTGAGTTGAGATAAAATTCCACATTTTTAAACAATATGACAACCCTTTGCAAGAATGGTTTACTTTTTTACTTTTTTACTCTTAACAAAAACTCTGAATTCACCTGGCTAATCAGAACCTGTAATTCTCATATATTATGTAATAGAACATGTAAATGTGGCTCTGTGCTTTCTGATTGGATACATATATTAAATGTAAAATCACTGCTCTTAGTTAGAGTATAAAGCTCATACAGGTGATATCGGGGTATCATCAAACAAACTTAACACCAGAGAGTGGTAGAAAAACACATAGTGATAAATATTGCACGTTGAAGACCAAAATGACCGCCATGTAATTTATCCAGCATGCCCGAAACCTAATCAGATCTCAAGTTAATGGATTAATGGTTTTCTGGAATTTTAATGACAAGATTCATATGGCACTCGCCCACCCCCATGCCCACTTAAATACATGCATGCCTACCAGCACAAGTAGACAAAAAACAGTATTTCTAAAGTATGATATTATAATTATTATAATTTTATTATATCTTTTATTGACAATTTATATCAGTAACATGATACATTAGTCACTAAAACACTACAAACTACTACAACAACTATTCTAACTACAAATAATAATTATTATACAGTGTGATGCACACTATTAAACATATACACTTAAATTTTGAATCCATGATATATAAATTTTCCAATGTATAATTGAACATTCAAGTGTTCAGTAGCCATTAACCTTTTAAAAATATCTGGGTCATCACAATCAAAACTTGGAATAATTTCCTTTAATTTCGAAAACAAACATTCTCTAAGAGTTACATATTTTTTACATCTTGTGAGAAAGTGTTCTTCATCTTCAATAGAATTACATGTTGAACATTTTCTCTCATTTAGAGGTTTAGGGGCAGGTTTACAATGCCTCCCAGTCTCAATATGCAACTGGTGTGAACTTAGTCTAAATCTTGCAATACAATGCCTATACTTTCTATTGTCTAACTTTAAATATGATTCACATTCAAATTTAGTTTTATATTTACAATATGTTCTAAGTATAGGTGCACACAAAATAGCATTTTGCCAATCGGCACGATACTGTCTCATCAAAGTGCTATTTACATCCTTTAAAAATATTTTCTCATCAGGTATTTCCTGATTGTCCCAGTATTCTAACATGTCACATTTTTCCAGTATTTTAAAAACTCTGGATGCCCATGAGGGAAACCCAAGATTGTGTAACTCGAGCTCATATTTATATGTTTCAGATAATATATTACTTGGGCATAGTCTCAGGAGTCTAATCCAATATTTTAATAGTTGTATTTCAAATTTTATATACAATGGATAACGGCCTAAATCACCATAAACTGCATGTGTTGATGTCTGAGGTTTTACACATAAAACAGATTTTAAAAACTTAAGATGGATTGTTTCAATTGTCTTCATTTGTTTATGATCTAGCCATATCTCAGAACCATAATTTAGAATCGGCAGAATAAGTGTATCGAACAAATGCAAAGCGATACTAACCGGGATATCATTAAATTTATTGTATTGTTGTTTTATCTTGAAATAGGCTTTTCTTGCTTGTTCTTTCAAATGGTTGGAATTTTTATCAAACTTGTTATTATGACTTAAGACACAACCAAGATATTTATATTCATTGACTTGTTCAATTGTTTGATTATTAAACATAAAAGGTTCATGGTCTTTATTCTTTGAATTAAAAAGCAGAGCTTTGGTTTTAACTGTGTTCACAATTAAACGGTATTCTGTACAATATTTAAATAGTGCATCAAGCTGTTCTTGGAGTCCTTTTCTTGAGTTAGATATTAGTACAAGGTCGTCCGCCCACAGAAGATGGTTTATAAAAGTATTTTCAAGTTTTACTCCAGAGTTTGAGGGCAGATTATTTCTCAGATCATCAATAAAGTGATTAAACAAGAATGTACTCAATACACTTCCTTGCATTACACCGATATCTGTATTAAAGCATGATGATATACCATCTTGCAGCTTAAGACAAGATTTAGATTTTTCATACATACTTTCAATAATTTTGAACATTTTAGTTTTTGGGAGTATACCAAACTTGCATAGTTTATAAAAGAGGACTGTTCTATCAATATAGTCAAAAGCTTTTCTAAAATCAATCATGCATGTATAGAGTGTTTTCTTCTGTCGATTGAATTTATTTATTAGAGACCTTAAAATAAAAATGTTATCCGTAGTTCGCCGGTCATGTTTATAAGCTCCTTGAAAAGGGTCTTGTGAGTTGCTCATTTCTGCATTGAAAACTAGTCTATGTTGAATAACAGAGTCAAAAACATTTCCAAGAGTTGCGAGCACATTAATTCCTCTATAATTATCTGGAGAGAATCGACTTCCTTGCTTAAATAATGGTGAAAGCATTCCAATGCTCCATTTATCTGGATAATCCCCTTTGTCAAAGATGGCGTTAAAGAGTGCTGTAAAGGGCACAATAAGACTTTCGGAATTTTTGATAATATCTGAAGGTATGCCATCTATACCTGGTGATCGATTAGAATTGATACGTTTTAAAGCCATACAAACTTCAGAGGTTTGAATAGGACCATTTATAATAATGTCACTTAATAAATCTATTGGTTCATCTAAAGATATGTTCTCAGAATCATGAATAAATGTTTGCATTTTTTCAAAGAAATTTTCATTAAAATAATCAATCTGCGGAGGTACAGCTAAATCTTTAAATGCTGAAAATAATACATGAGGAGAAATAGGTATGTCATGAGTTGAATTTCCGGGAATGGCATGCAGCATCTTCCAAAATTCGGTAGGACATTTAGACATATTTAGTACTAGTTCGTTTAAAAGATTTGATTTGAAATTTCTTTTCTCTCTTTGTCTGACTTGATTATATTGCTTAGTTAATTCTGATATTTCTTCATCTCCTTTATTTTGCTTAATTGCCATATGTACTTTCTTTTTCAATTCTTTACACTCATCCGTAAACCATCCGTTAACAGGAAATTTAGATTTTCGTTTAGATAATTTTTTAATTTTAAATGTTTCTACAGCTGCATAATTGATTGGGGCTAAGATTGCATCAGTTAAGTCATTTGAATTCTGAGATGAATCACCTAAAAATACAAAGAAATTTTCAAGTAAAGTTTTGCTAATTTTGTCTGTTAATTTAGCTTTGAAGTCAATCTTTTTATCACTATCCCATTTGAAAAAAGAAAATGGAATTTTTTGAAAGCATGTGCTTGGTGAACCTTGTTCAACATCGGTAGGTGAATTTTTCTGAATATCTAAAATGAAATGTAATGGGGCGTGATCTGAATCAACTCTTTTATCATGTACTTTAAAATCACTTATGAAAGGAAGTAGACTTGGTTGTGAGATAACATAATCAACGACTGATTTCCCACGATTGGGGTTATTAAAGTCATCTTGTAAATAACGATAAAATGTAAATTTGCCCATATCTTTATCTTGATGAAGTCGACCATTTAATATCTGCATTCCTGAAGACTTACATAAAGTAAGAAGTTCATGACCATGAGTTTGATTTACAGCAGTTACATTCTTATCCATAGACACCCTTTTTGGTATATTTACATTGATTTCTGCCTCTTGTACATGTTCTGTTACAGGTAATTCCCCGTTGGAACCAAAAATATTCATATGACAATCTGTTAGTTCCGCTGTGCGAGCATTGAAATCTCCACAGATCATTGTCTTACCAAGATTCTGGTAATGAGCAATAGAATTTTCAAGAATATCTAAATTACTTGTTCCTAAAATATTATCAAATGCTGAACCTTTAAATGGTAAATAAACAAAACAAATAAAGATGTCTTGTGTGATAGTGTAAGCATTTGAGTTTAATTTAATCCAGACAAAAAAATCATGAGATTGGGGTAAGATCTCAATAAACGATCCATATAGATTATCTTTGATAAATACAGCTATGCCACCTGAGTAGCTGTGAGCATTCACATGTTTTGTTCTACGCGCAAGATTTTCACAGGTAAAACCTTCAAATTCAAGTTTATGATCAGGAGAAACCCATGTTTCACTGATAAAAATAACTGAGTATTTTCTGAACAGAGAATTTACATCTTCACCATCAGTGAGCTTATCAGACAGTTTGTTGATATTCCATAAAAGAATAGGGAGTGATTCAGGTGCATTATGGGTATTAATGCTGATTTCATCTTTATGCTTAGAGACATGATGAGAATAATTTTGAGTAGAATTCCCTATAGAGTTTGATTGAGTGTTAATATGTACAGACTTATTTACACAGTAACTGTTATTTACATCATAATATACATCATTGTTTATGCTTGTCAGACTTTCATTAGAGCATACTTTGTTTTTAAGATTCAGATTTAAGTATGCATCACACTGAGTGTTTATAAATAACTCTTGGAGCGGGGCATCGGAGGGTCTCTAGTATTGTGGGTTGCAGCTCGTCGGCTCGCTATAATATTTGCGTACGTTTTTCCAGAGTTCTGTTTTATGATTTCAAGCATAGCAATAGCGAGTATGTTACGCCCTCTCGTATTGAAGTGAAGTCCATCATTATACAGTACGCTGAAGTTGGGGTTTCTCGCTGTAGACCTGTTTATGCTGTTAATGTCAATAAAGTCTACTTTCTGATTCCTACAGAACTCAGCCATCTGAGCATTAATGTAGTCGATGTCATTGTTCATCATATAAATATGTGAGTTATCATCGGAATCACAGCGGTGATGAATGCCACAGAGTATAAGTTTAGAGGAAGGGTGGTGAGATCTGGCAGTTTGTACCAAATTCTTCAATTCGTATACTATATCTGTGGGGTTGTCACTTTTTATGTTATTTGTCCCAAAACCAATGATTTTATAATCTGTTGATTTTGCAATGTCACCCTGGCGAATGACATTCGTGGCCATCTGGATATTGCCTCCACTATAGACTGAGGCTGTGACTTTAACCTTATTATTGGAGAAAGCCCTCATTGTACCTGCCATCTTCTTCCCATTAGAGGAATACATGAGATGTACTGTTGGAGTAGTATCCCTTTGATGTCCAGAGAATTTTGAGTCATTAACCACTGGTTTGGGTTTGGAGGTTGACTTTTTTTCCAATTCAACGTGTTTGGTTTTAGATTTTCCCTTTTCAGCAGAGTTAGAGTCAGGGGATGAGGTATTTCTTGAAATACTCTGTGGTTGGCTACAACTTATCACCTCATCTTCTGATTTTGATGGCATTGATTTTAGTTGGGTTGTAAGTAATTGCACTTTTCTGTAGAGAGTTTCATTGTCAACTTTTGCACCATCAAGCTCTTTGGTTAGAACTGACAACTTATCTTTGCTTGATTGAATTTCATTTTCAAGTTCATTGACTCTTATTTGATGCGTATCAGTAACTATTTTCATGTCATCGTGACATTGCTTTTGGCACGTAGCTAGTCTCGTCATGAGATCTGTAATTTTCGCGTTTTTGGCAATTATTTCTGTGTGGTATTTTGCTTCAATGACTTCATTCTTAGCCTCTAATTTTATAAGCCTTGCCCTCAGTTTTTTATTTTGCACGTTTAGCTCAGAGTGTTCCAAGGAACCTTGTAGTTGTGAGGATTTTGGTGATGTTAGTGAGGAAGCGGACTCAGGTTGCTCACACACATCAGCAGTCTGATTTTCTGCGGTTATTTGTGATGGTTGCGAGTCTGGAACAACCAGTATATCAGGCGATGTGGGAGTTTGTGTTATTTGAAGGTCCCCTGTTGCAGGTTGAGATTGTGCACCGTCTACTGAACATGGTTGTGAGTATGATAAAGAGCAAACCATTGGGTAATAACTATAATAAATATGTATCGCAATATCCTATAGATAAACTAGTAAAAGAACCTAAATAGTTGACTTGAATATTAAAAAGTCTCTTCTGGGACGTGTAAATGAGTCTATATAAGCGATGTCTCACAGGAGGAATGATAATGAAGCAGTATTGAATGCATGACTGAGGACCTTTAAATTGATAATACGAAATATGTAAATGCTTGTTTCAAAATCAATGTAACGCATGGCACTTTCGCAAATGGCTCTATGAAGTTCATCAAGGTAATAATGACAGTGCGATAACAGAGGTTCATTTAATAACGAATACACAATGACACTTTTGCATATTTTATGTTTTTACGATATTGATTATTAAGAGTGATCCAGGTAGTTGTTCAAAATATATTATACCAGATGCTTCACGGAGAAAGTGTATACATCACCCATCCAAAAAAAAACTGTAATTTTTGCAGAACTGCCCAACATTGAAACCAGCATGTATTTAGAGTATGAATTTCAGTTATGCTCATATAATTTCGGACATTTTTTTAATTTTAGTGTATTGATGAGAAAGTGTGAAAATCATGACAGAATTCAAGAGGTACATGTATATATAGAGCCAGTCGCAGCAGCAGGTAGTGGATATTGATTATGAGGAGTCCTAAGAGCATAATACAGTATAGCTAATGAACCTCTAATCATTCTCACGTTCAAAATCAACCAATCACAGTCATGTAAAATACCGTGGAAAATAATGGAATCCAAATGAACACCATTGATTTCAGGCTCTCACTGCTTGCCTCCATCGTGAAATAAGTCGCACGCTCGAAAAATTATCGAAATCTGGGGTAAACGTTATTCATTTTAGAAACATTATATTGTCTATCAATTCACACTCAGGTATGAGGTTCTCGCAGCTCGCTGCATAATAGAATTACAATTCCACGGCACAGATATGACGTACTGATGATGTGACAAGTATAAACTCGCTGAGTATATAGGGAATTGATTAAGGACTTACCGTGTATATATAAATTACTAATAGAATATTGTTATTCTGGTATTACACCGCACTGATGTTTTCATATGAGAGGTCGTTTATACTGATTTATCAGTATCCCTCTAAATGTAATGCCTGTGAGTTTGAGTACTCCCTTTTAGAGAGAATAGAGAATGTGGAACCCATAATGGAGCCAACTAGCATATGTAGCAGAATTTATAATGAAGCACAATTCTAAAGAAGCACAATCATACTGTAAATGAGCACAATCATACTGTAAATAAGCACAATAAAGAAATGCCTCTTTATTGAAATATTGCCTGGACAAATGGACAAATTACTGAATTAAAAAAAGAGTCCAGAGTATAATTGAGTATGATCGCATCGACAATTCATTTAGATGAGTAAACACAAAAATGCATTTGCTGAACACAGACCTTCTAGGTCTGATTTTTTACATAATTGAGATATTTTCATCATCGATGCTTTGACGTATAACATTTTGACAAATCTGAAAAGCATTTCTCCTGAGTGTTTCAAACTATGTAAGCAAGTAAATTCAATTATTTTCAAGATCACATAATGAGTTCAAGATATAAAATCTAAAATAGAAATAATTTGAGAAATTATTTGAGCATAAACTTGACTGTTTATTTGTGTAAATATGTTCATACAACTCTTAATAGTTCAGCTCGTTAAATGTCAAACGAAATCTGAAACCAATGTTCATTTTATTTGCAAGACATTGTTCTATTATTTGTATAATTACAATAAGAACAAGCCTTGACAATAGAACTTTCAATTTAAAGCTCTTAGCATTATCCCAATTCAATGAAAAATGTTGTTTTCGCACCCGCAGGTTGGAAAATTGTGTAGTGGCATATTGAAAATGGTAGTTAGAACACGATGTTTTGGGTTATTCATTTTTTATGTTATTCTAACAAAACTGAATATTTGCCAAAGGATTACAAAAGCCGCCCGACAGTTTGAACCTGACCCTGAGCAAAGCATTGTTATTTGTTAAACAATTTGTTTTTCATTATCAAATATTTTTAGTTCTATTCAAATAATGTAGATACTGCTTTGGTAAGTACAGAGTCTTTAACTCGATCAATTCCTAATTCAACTCTTTATTTGTTTACCTAACCTTTTTTACCTAACATCGAATTTGGACTTCTCAATCAGTCAACATTCCTCGATGAAAAGCAGGAATTCAAACTAAAAAAATGTTCAAAATACCAAGTTTTGCTGATTCAGAATATAGTACATCATGTCAAACAACATCCCATGTTTTGTACTCTTCATTGATTTCTGTTTCTAGTTATAGTAACCTTGTCGTAATCAGTATTTCATAAACCAAAATACCTGCAAAAACCTGCATTTTAAGAGACTGCCATGACTTAACCAGCATTTGCAAATTCAACCATCGGCTGTCAGCTGACAATTAAATCCACTATTTTATGGCCAATTCATTCAAATAGGAATAGTACCTGCCACTATTCATGTCTATATTCAAATGATTTGGCCATAAATAAGTGGATTAACCATCAGCCGAGCCAGCAGTTGAATTCGCGATTGTTACCTTATAAGAGTCGATATATATATTTGCTTATCAATTCACTCTGGCCATGCCATTGTACATCTTTTTTCCTTATTGGCAAACTAGATCAATGCAAGGACAACATACTACGATTTCAGATTGTTCTTTTTATATATATGATTGGTTTTCTATATACAACACTAATTGTTTATTTTCAACCACATGGACACTTCATATGATAGCCAGCAGGAATTACTTAGTCTTGCTTCAAGATCCTGCCCCCCCCCCCTCCTTCTCTTATCTACTTCAACAACTGGGGTCTTCTCATCTCATACATAGGCACTTGGCATTGCCCTTTATACAGAACCACACTACCCTACCACGTGACCACATTTAAAAATGATACAGGGTACGGTTAAGTTGCAAATGGAGCGGGTATTCTCTATCTTTGTCCATTGGGCTTTTCTGGTAATAATATGTTGCAAACTGCTCGATGAACCTATACAATGTATAGTAGAACACTTAGAATATGTGTAAAATCTAGTATAGATTCAGAACTATGGAAATAAACAAACGTCCTCCATTTGCAACTTCCCTGTAGCCTGTACTTCTTTTAAAGGAATACAGGATACAGTATGGGGGTATAGTAGTGTGAGAACTGACCTCATATATTCATAAAGTCCTGCATTCAAGCATGGAAAAGTGGATTACCATACATTGCCCTTTGCTCAGAGTTGACTATCATGATGGCTACTGCTCGCTGGCTTGTCATAGAACTTTCCTTCATGAAATTATTATATAATTGGCTTCAGGGGAGGGGGATCCTGGTATGTGCCTAATGCAGAACTACTAATCCTTGATAAGAGGGATACGAATATTGCCTGAGCTGAATGCATACATTGTGTAATTACCACATACGGATTCTTAGTGTTTATTAAGAGACGAAATGAATGTTTGACACAGCTAACTCTATATGTAGAACATATAAGACAGAGCATGCCCAAGAATTCTCAGAGACAGTTGTCTGTTTGAAAAAAAACAGAATAAAGAAAAAATGAGGAGAATATTATAAAAGGGTAGAGTAGTTTTAAAAGAATGAAGTAAGGAAATTTCACTTTGCTATCAGTATTAGAGAAAAATCATTTGGCATAAGTGGAATCTGAATTCCAGTATTGTGTGGATTTAGAAAATTATTGTCCTCACGCCCTATGGCAAACAAACATAGATGTTGCGACACAAAACAAATGAATAGTGTATATATGCATCCACTTCTCATTTGTTCTGAATTTTGTTTCCTCCTATTACATGTTAAGGTATTTGGGTATCCAATACATTCCAGTTATAGACATTGGCTCTGTACCATACAGGAACAATAACTTTGCAAATTGTTATAATAAAAATAAACATTTACTCCTGGGTAAAGTAATAGGCAAATCATATACACGTGTGTACCTAGACCAGGTTGATGTATGTATTGTTCACATTCAAATTTGACCTCAATTTTCCTCAAATAATACCTCTTTTATCAGAGCCCAGAGATGGATTGAGGGGGGAGGCTTTTGTGAGACTTTTTGGGCATTACTCTAGCTTTTAGGCCAAATTATCAAGAAAATGGGCCTCAAATTTGTAAGCTGAGAAAGATTTTTTCAGGCTTTCAATTTGCCCCCCTGTTACTTTTCAGATCTACCCCTGGAGCCTAATACTAAACGATTGGAAAAGGCACTCATATCAGTATCTGTTTTAGGTTGTCATTTACTATATTGCCAAATATCCTTTATTTTTTGTTTGTCATGAGTGGCAGAAAGAAAAATGTTAGTATTTCAATTATAGATAACATCTCCCGGGTTCAAAAAACTGAATTTGATTAATTATGGAGAAAATGACCAAGCATTAAGTTGTTGAAGGAGAAAAAAACATCTATGCCATTTATATTGGTATAAATTTAACAGAGAATATGGTGGTTGCAGCCTAATAGTTAAACTTCTGAAAGAGAACCTTCCTCTAGATCTTGTTCTGGAGTTGGTTTACTTTAAACATCACATTCTCATTGATCAAAGTAGAATCTTGCAAGTCATCCATGTAAATATAGTTTTGCCATAATTTATGTTTTTGCATTGTTATTCAATAGAATATGTGGGGTATTCATTCTCAGAACACAGGCCCCTAGAACCCATACCTCATTCTTCCATTTTCTTTCTAGAATAAAGAAAGAAACATAGTGGATGATGTCTGGAACCATGCATTCGGAGGATGATTCATATTATGACAAAAATTGTTAGGTAAGAAGATATTCCTTAGGACCAGGAAAAAGTGCTTAATAAATGTGTTCCACTTACAGAGGTCTATTAAACTACATGTGACATAAGTCAATAGATTAGGTATGATGTTTTCCACATATACAATGGCTGCCTTTTAGGAGCTGGACAACTTGTATATAGGCTAGTTATAAATGGGTCACACGACAAGGTGTAGGTGTACCAGACCCAAAAGCTCTCCCTTGTTATGATCATACAAGATCTCATGCAGAAAAAGCAGGTTTGGATAAGTTATGCTAAGTAACCTGTGAGTTAATTTACCAGGTTATACTACAATTGCGTCATTTTTTACTTTGTACAAATTGGAAAGTCAAAATCAGAATGTCATAGGTTCTTATTTAGCAAGAGAATTAGACCGCCATTTAAATAAATATGAATCTCTGGGTCATTAGTATTCTTCATGTTACTACGAAAATGGTATGAACATATCGTTCTAAGGGAACATT